CAAATCCTTGTCCTAGATGCAATCAGGACGTTGAGACGAGTCTACACTACTTGAGAGATTGTGAATTTTCTACTTACTTTTGGAAGTCTATTGGCTAGTTGGAATCAATATTCTTCCATTAAGATATTTTATAGGATTGAATCATATATGATATTGATGGTGGCACTATCCTTTTGGCTGCTTGCTAGTGGTTGTGACACGTTAGGAATAAATTGTGTATTGCGAATGAAGTGGTATATTCTTATACTTTGAAACTCGTCACAGTGAATTATGTTAATCTGTTAGCTAAATATTTTCTCAAGCATAATATGTCTCATTGTTGGCTAAAAAAAGCCAACTAAAAGCATCGACGGCGAAAGGGTCGACCTCGACAGGAGATAAGAACAAAAAACCCCTAACCGACAGCATTCATTGGTGGAAGGAAGCATTTGGAGAATACTAGCAGTAAAGTGTCGAAATCAACAAATCTAAAAGGGGTGCAGACTAAGTCGACGTTCCAAGGGAAACTGCGTGGTCGACAGGGACATAAGTTGGTCGACCAAAAAACAACGGAGGCACACCCGACAAAGGAGCCTTCTTGCCTGGTGGGAAATAAATTTGACAAAAGGAATATGAGAGAAGTTACAAAAGAAGTGGTATTATACGTGGCGGCTTCTAAAGCGACCAGACGGTTATTTTATTTGTCTATATAAAGCAAAGCTTTGGTTTGAAGGAGGGGGCGTCTTTTGTCAACATTTCAAGAAAAACACTCTGAGTACCACACACTAAAGAGAAAAGAGTTCCCTTTTCATTACAAAATGTACGAACACGTTCGGTTGTACTATTTTTTTTACATTGAACTTACCAAGTCTTTATGTTATGAAAACAATGCATTTACTTTTATATCGTTTTTTCAGTACCTCTTTGTTTTGTTAAAAACATCGTTGTCTTTACTTGTCTAGATTTTATCATACACACTCTCAAAAAACAAACAACTGTTGAGTGCACCATAAATCCTAAATAACCAACCCACCCAGAACTAGAGTCTTGGGACTAGTTTGCCCAGTCCCGCAAGCAAACCCATGTCGGAAGGTCAGAGGTTGTCCGCGCGAAAAACACATGCGAACACTCATTCAACTAGAACGATCATGTGGAATCACACAAAGATAGTAATTTGATTGAATGTTGATGGTAGTAGCCTCAGTAATTCCGATGTCACGGGTTTTGGTAAATTGATTCGAAATGCTGATGATACTTGTGTTCATGGTTTTGCAAGTAATATTGATTATTCCAACATTTTTCATGCTGAGCTGATGGTGTTATATCATGGTTTGTGTATGGTCTAAGAACTTGACATCAAAGACCTGATGTGTTATTTTGACTTCAGCTCTGCTATCAAATTTATCTTAGAGTCTATTGGTTGACATCACTATGTCGTAATTCTTTACAACATTAAAGAGTTTATCTCTAGAGAATGACGAGTTTAAATATTTCATATTCTTAAGAAGGAGAATATTTATGCTGAGTATCTAGCAAAACATGAAGTTAAGTGCATACTAATCTTTTGTAAAACCTTCTCCTTGAATCATCACTCTTTTACTAGCTAATGCTATAGGAATTTTATTTTCTAGATAATTTCATACTTTTTTTTTCTTTTCCCACTTACACCAAAATAATTTGCCCACACAACTTACAGTGTGTGGTATGACCTTGAGTAGTATGATGATCGAAAGAAAAATATACTCCTTGAGGGCGTAAAAATTATTATTTTTGCCGCAGTAATATATATTCTTAAATTTATTTCTGCATTAAAAAAAACAGTGTTTGAATTGAACCCAGCAAAGGTGTCCTTTTTCGACATTGGTGACCTTATCCATTTCATTTCGCACATTCATCTTTCTCACAAACCTTTCAAAACTCTAATGGAGCTTCTACGTATTTCCTCTCCTCTATTATCCACAAAACAACACCATGGAATAGTAATAACCTCTTTCTCCTCCATAAACTTTGACAAGAACAGAAACTATTCCATCAACCCTAAACCCATTCACTCTCTACGTCAATCTATTACTCATACACCAACCTTAATTAGAACCAAACAACACGTTAATTTTACTCTCAGATTTTCCGAACAACAACGAAGTCAAGTAATCGAGGAAAACACTGAAGAATTTTCTAGTACTAGGTTGCTTGCTCAGAATGTTCCATGGACATGTTCCGCTGAAGATATTCGTTCTTTGTTTGAAAAACATGGGAAAGTCATTGATGTTAAGGTTTAATTTCTCATTCTTCATTGTTTTTTTTTTCTTTCTGTTTATTGGAGGCTTTTATTTATCTGACAGTGACAATTTTTGTTTTTGTTTTTGGGTTTTAGCTTTCAATGTATACTAAGACAAGAAACAGAGGTTTAGCGTTTGTGGAAATGGGTTCCCCAGAAGAGGCTCTTGCAGTTTTCAATACTCTCCAATCATTCGTAAGCCCAATATCATTTTTACTATCTTCGGGAAAAGATAACAAATGCATTTTTTCTTATAAATAGGATTAGAGAGAGTATAGAATAGTGTTAAATAGCTGCTAAGTAACCTCATAGTAATGTAACATAGCAGAATTTGAGCAAAACAATATATCTTCATCTGCGATTTACAACATTGTAGATTGTTTTTCATTTAGTTTTACGTGTTAAACTTGTCGCGGAAACTGTCTTTCCCATTAGGGGATAGAATAATATAGACTCTCAACCTTGTGGCTTTTTTATTTTTGTGTCATCTGCTGTTGAAACTTGAAACTATTTGGCGTCTATAGAAAGGGATCTTGATTCGATGTGTTTATTTGTTTATTTTGTGAATGCTGTGTAGGAGTTTGAAGGACGCGTAATAAATGTCAAATATGCTCGGCCTAGGAAGGAGAAAATAACGCCACCGGTGGAACAAAAGCCAATAAAATTTAACTTGTTTGTTGCAAACTTGTCCTATGAAACAAGGTCTAAAGATCTCAAAGAGTTTTTTGACTCGGGAGCCAGTGGAGTTGTTTCTGCAAAGGTTATATATCGTGTGGGTCCTAAAAAGCGATTTGGTTGTGGATTTGTATCCTTCAAGTCCAAGAAAGAAGCGGATGATGCTCTTTCCGCGTTTCAAGGAAAGGTAACTCGTGATTTTTGGCACCAATTTATGTGTGTATTATCTTTTTCACAAGCATTTCTGCAATTGCATGTCACATTTGAAAAATTGATTTTCTGCAGAATTTGAAGGGAAGGCCAATCAGGGTTGCACCTAGTAAGCAATTTGTTCAACTGACAGAGGAGAGTGTCTGAAGACAAATCTGGTTGAGATCATTATTGTTGATGTTGTATGCCCTTGCTTCGAACATTTTGATTGTTTTTCACTTTCTTACAAATAATACTAAGTCTTTATGTATGTTTTACGGGTAGTTTCACTTAGTGAATATTGTTACTTCATAATGACATGTGAAAGCAGCATATCCGATCATTTCTTCTTTATCTTAAATATTCGGGGAATTAAGTTAGGAGACATCTTAGGTGCTGTTCCATTTATATTGTTTGTGCTCTTTGCTGATTATAGCATGTCATGTAGAATACTAAAAACAGCACCTAAAGAATTGCAATTAAGTTATGTTGGCAAGAATATTGGTTCAATTTGTATCAGAAGGAAACAAAATCAAACTGTTCTAAGAGGAAGATATACAAAAGCTCGAACATAACATTATGTGATAGGATATTGCTGAATGTTACTGTCTTAAACTCGAGTAGTCAGTGACGCAGTGGCGGATAGGTTCAGATAATTAAAGATAAGCTTTGGTTTCCTTTCTTGCGATTTTTTTCTTGTTAAAAGGGATCTTTGTGTTAGTTCAAACCTTTTTTTTGGTGAAAATGGGTCATAGCAATGAGGGAAGATACATCTTCACCTAATGTTTACTCACATTATTTCTAATAATAATAATACTTTACCAAAAGCACAAACAGTGGACTCAAATTTCATGATTATGTCATGATATTTTCATCGTGTTAGGTAAGCAGTTAGGATCAAGATTTTAGATGTCACATTCTTCTCCAACCCATATTTTTCATATTGTTTCCTGTGGAGTCTCAAGAAATCAAATTATAATATTAACCCTCATAAGAGGATATTCAATAAACTGTATGCTATTGTTGATTCCTTAAGAATATATGATATAAGAGAATTATGCTCTTATGTCCTTCATGAATTTGTTAAAGATTGAAACTTTATAACTAAATTATAGCTATAGTATTAACCATGCAAACATTAGGAGTTGTTACGTTGCTGTGTGTGTACCAGAATGAGTAGATTCTAAGCAAGAGTTCATTTTCAAACCATGATCAAGGTTACGTAATTATGCACATCTTGTGGGACCCTCATTCAAATAAAAAATGTTTAAGGACTAAGCTGAAAATTAAAAACAATTTAAAAAACCAAAATGCATTTTACTCTAAAAAATATTTAATATTGGGGCAGGCAAAGGACATAAGGGGTATGAGCCTAATCTACCCTACACTTTTCTTCATATACAATCCATCATAACATAATTCTCTTGGACTAATGTAGGAGAACTCTTACTAGAATTATTTTTTTTTTTTTAAGTTAGTCTAGTGGTTGAAATTCGTCTTTAAAAAGTTAACAATAAGTGAGACGTTGCGAGTTCGAATCTACATCCTTATATTTGATATTCTTGCACAACTATCAACTGAGCTGATTTAATGAGACTTTTATTGAAAATTTTGGTCAATAACATTATAATTGCAAAACAATAATTCATCTCAACCACAAACTTGAAAGTTGGAAAGAACACACGACCATCTTTTATGACCAAATATTAGGTAAGAAGTGTAACTCAAGTAATCCTCATGCAAAAAATTGACAAACATGGCCCTAACTCTAACAACTCCTAACTCCTTCTTTCTTGCAATTATATAAAGCAAACCCATTATTCCAACAACATCCTCACCTCAGAGCCTCTCCTCTGTCTTCTCCTAACTATATCATCAAATGGCATTCTCTAATGCTTTGGTTTTGTGCTTCTTTTTAGCATTCAACATGGCACTTCCGTCCCTTGCAACTGTCTACACTGTGGGAGATGCTTCAGGTTGGGTAATCGGTGGTGATTATAGCACATGGGCCAGTGACAAAACCTTCGCAGTTGGTGATAGCCTCGGTAAGAAATTTGCATTTTCTCTATAATAAAAGTAAATCGTTGCAATTTTAATGTCGGGATTGACATGTTGGTGAAGGCTCGAGACCTGAGAGTGTGCTCCTCTCAAGGTGTCATCTACGAATCCCGCTAGCTATTGTCAGTCCATACAGAGTTTTGATCTGACTTTAAATGTGGAAAGTGGGATTGATCTCCTCGGTCGAGTTTTAATAAAAATGTCAAAATTTTATTAATTTTCATATTAGTAACTAATGCATGTAAGTTGAATATGACAGTGTTCAACTATGGAGCTGGTGCGCACACTGTGGATGAAGTTAAAGAAAGTGACTATAAATCATGCACATCTGGAAACTCAATTAGCACGGACAGTACTGGTGCCACAACTATTCCTCTTAAGAAAGCAGGCAAACATTACTTCATATGTGGTGTTCCTGGACATTGTACCGGTGGCATGAAACTTTCTATTAAGGTTAAGGCCTCTTCTGGTTCTTCTGCCGCTCCTTCTGCAACACCATCATCATCATCAGGGAAAGGCTCACCTTCTTCCGATGACACACCCGCCACAACTGCCACCACCACTACCCCTACTAAGCAAAATGAATCTTCAGCTACTAGTCTCTCACCAATTGTTGCTTTGTTTTTTACTGTTTCATGGATCTTTAGTTATATTTTGGTATGATGAGTTCCCTGAGGCATAGTCAGGACAGAGGCAGTGCTTCCATGGTTTTCTGTTCATTTTTCATATTATTATTATCATCTATTGATTTCATTTCTTGTTTGATCTATTTATATTTATGGAGGTTCTGTATTAACTAGTAATCTTGGAAATCTTGTATTTTTATTCTGTTTCTATTTTTTATTTATATATTGGATGATTATAAAAAATTACACTTTTCAAATCACCATTAATTTTTTTGATTGATTAAATCTTTTAGCACAACATAAAAGAAATTGAAAAATAATATAGAGTCCTTTTCCCGTTGAACTTCCCTAAATCTCAAGAGCAATGAACACTCAAGTACAATACAATGTATTAAAAATTGGTTCGGATCGGCCGGTATCAAATTAAACAGAATAGAGAATGAAAGCAAGATTAGTAATTGTAATTATAAACGTATTTCATAATAATAATTATAGGAGGCAAAGTTGTATGCTATTTGAATGAAGACTAATAATAAGAAAATTAATATCTCCAAGCAATCACTATAATGAGAATCATAATAGTAATACAAATGTACGAAACTCATGTTTTCGTAATCATCATAATATATTTAGTATATACTATCAAATCCTAACTATATACGCCATGTTGTGCCGATCAGATCTACATCAGCAAAGCAACGACGAAAGCAGCGACGTATCCTCCAACGGCGACTCTGAATGGAGATGCGGGGGCAGAATTGGGAAGACCCGCAACTGGGCCATCGGCGACAGCGTCAGCGGGTCCGGAAGCACCGGGGGACATGGACGGAGAGGTGGTGGGAGAGACGGGAGCGGGAGGAGAATCTGTGGGAGAAGAAGCGGCTGGAGAGTCGGAGGCTGGTGTTATAGAAGAGGGAGAGGAAGCCTGAGGGGGAGTGGCGGTGGAGGTTGGAGATTGGGAGTCAGTGGAAGGGGGAGTAGCGGTGGTGGTTGGAGAGGGAGTGGCGGCGGTGGTTGAAGGGGGAGTTGCGGAGGTGGTTGGAGTAGGAGCGGCGGTGGTTGTTGGAGGGGGAGCGGCGCTGTCGTTGGCTTTTGGCGAAGAAGCTGGGGCGGGGGAGGCTTTTGGTGCGGCGGCGGGAGAGGTGGTGGGTGCTAGACCGGAAGCGAGGGTGGAGAGTAATGCTACGATGAAGAAGAAAGCAATGTTGGAAGAAGAAGACATGGTTAGTTGATGATGGTGATTGTTGGAGAAATGAGAAGGTTGGTGAAGAAAAGAAAGCGAAAGGAAAAGGATACTTATATGGAGAGAAAGGAAAGAGAGAGGTGAGAAGAAAAGGGGTTTGGAAGGGCGAGGATTTTTGTTTTGTGGGTCTTTACCGAGTCAACCGCGCTCAACCGAGCATTTTTAACAAAACCGATAAAATTAAAACGTCTTTATTAGATTGGATTGGTTGATATGGGAGGAATATTTGGGAACAGAATTAACTACCATTCAAATTTTGGTTTCTCTCGCCCTAACAACTTCTTCTTTATTGTAATCTATTCATAACGCGCCAATCCTTCTTATTGTTTGTTTTTGAGACTCATTTATTATTATTATTATTATTATTATTATTATTATTATTATTATTATTATTATTATTATTATTATTATTATTATTATTATTATTATTATTATTATTATTATTATTATTATTATTATTATTATTATTATTATTATTATTATTATTATTATTATTATTATTATTATTATTATTATTATTATTATTATTATTATTATTATTATTATTATTATTATTATTATTATTATTATTATTATTATTATTATTATTATTATTATTATTATTATTATTATTATTATTATTATTATTATTATTATTATTATTATTATTATTATTATTATTATTATTATTATTATTATTATTATTATTATTATTATTATTATTATTATTATTATTATTATTATTATTATTATTATTATTATTATTATTATTATTATTATTATTATTATTATTATTATTATTATTATTATTATTATTATTATTATTATTATTATTATTATTATTATTATTATTATTATTATTATTATTATTATTATTATTATTATTATTATTATTATTATTATTATTATTATTATTATTATTATTATTATTATTATTATTATTATTATTATTATTATTATTATTATTATTATTATTATTATTATTATTATTATTATTATTATTATTATTATTATTATTATTATTATTATTATTATTATTATTATTATTATTATTATTATTGTTATTATTATTATTATTGTTATTATTGTTATTATTATTATTATTATTATTGTTATTATTATTGTTATTATTATTATTATTATTATTATTGTTATTATTATTGTTATTATTATTGTTATTATTATTGTTATTATTATTATTATTATTATTATTATTATTATTATTGTTATTATTATTATTATTATTATTATTATTATTATTATTATTATTATTATTATTGTTGTTGTTATTATTATTATTGTTATTATTATTGTTGTTGTTATTATTGTTATTGTTATTATTATTATTATTATTATTATTATTATTATTATTATTATTATTATTATTATTATTATTATTATTATTATTATTATTATTATTATTATTATTCGTCAATAATTATTAATTATTAATTAGGCTATCAATTTTTTAACTTAACTTTTTGTTTAAAATTTGGTACTATTATGATTTGTATATCATATACTATTTTATTATTTTATTTAACTTAAACAATTGATCTTTGATTTAAACGATAATTTATTGAATCTTACACGACTATACGATTTAATCGTGAATCATCAACACTTAATTGTTGTTTCATTTCTCCATACATTTTCTTCTCCTCAACTATATCTTTATCGACGACACCTTTATCATTTTTACATTAAAAAAAACTCAATAATTTAAAATTAAAACAAAATTATGTTTGAAAAATACATAAATTGAATTAAATTAAATTAATAAAATTAATAATGAATCAATTTTAAATATGGAACAAAGAGTTTAACAGATACTTTAGAACTTAAAAAAATTAATCATAAAAAACACAAAAAAAACATAAAAATCAAAACATAACTTAAAAGAGTAACATAAAACAATTAAGCATTAAAAATCAGACAACAAGGTTGAATCAAAACCAAATAATGCGGTTATTATTAGACAAACTAGCAAATAAAAACCTTAACTCTAAGATTGAAGCTACAAAAGAATGATTTGAAAGTCATCTAAAACTCGCTTCATATTTATTGTTGTTGGGATCATTCAACCACTTATATTTATGTTGTCTTATTCCAATATTTATGCTCTTAATTCTCCCTACTCGTTCTTATCAACTTTGTTGTTCGTATTGAACGATACTAAGATCCATTCTTTTTCTTGTTTCTTATTTGGGTTGTGTATTTTTCTTTTGGGTATTTTTTTCTTTCAATTCTATGTTCTTGGATTTTTTAGGTTTAATTTTTTTACGATACTGTCATGTGTCGATCAAAAGGCACATAGCTATTGATTAGAGAACACATTGATCCACCGCATCACCTGTGGAGCATGTATGTTATCCTAGTCTAGACTGTAAGTGCTCAGATCCAAGATCCATTAGAGAGATCCTCGCATTCCACACCCAAAGATTTGCTAGTTATAATCGTTTTGCTATATAAGAATGAAGTGCGTCATTTTCCAGGTGCAATATGAATTCAAACTTCATTCACTCATCTTACTCTCATACTGACTTAGGTGTTAGAGTGCTAACCTTGAAGGTCATCCCCTTTTTCACCACATTAGAAGCTCAAGTCTTTTGTTGCCATCTGCAACCTATGATCACTGATCAATTTTGGTTCCCTCACGAAATATTGATGCCATCTGTGGGAATTGACATCTGATTCTTGTATTTTCCACAATTTACACATTCATCTCTCGATTTACTGAACCAAAGCTTCCATAACCAAGAAATTTATATTTACTGAATTTCAAGAAAATCGTACATTGGTAAGCGACTTGCCTTTCTAACAATCATCTATAATAATATTTCTCGTTAAACGACTTATGTAACACCCCGTTCCCAAAATAAAATAAAACAATCAAATAAAACACATATCAGAGTTTCTCTCCCAAACGGGATGCCACAAAATACACCTCAAAATTTCCACAAATATTTTTCCAAATAATTTAACTGAATTTTTCAATAAAATTGCAGCGGAAAAAGATATGGTCTGCTATAACACAAAATATCATATACATACATCATCCATATCCATCATCATCATCATATATACAATAACGACCATCTGCCCCAAAATACATAACATCATCACCGATCAACATCAAACATCTCACAAAATATCAGATACGCCACGGGGGCACACATATAAAAAATACACAATAATACTCCCAAAAACGCCCCGGTGTTACGTATCAGAGCAGTCCTACGGAGACACCACAATCCAACTAGATAAACACCTAGATTGTCTGTACTTCCGAAGAAGCACATACCACAACAGTAACAAAGAGGGTGAGAATTACGATTAAATAATAATGGTATAATAATACATGAAATAAAAGGCAGAAATCAATGATAATACTATTTCATATACATATCATCCAGACTCACGGTCCCCACCGTCAACCACAACACACAATCACGCAACAATGCACTCACACAACTCTTAACATGCGGTACCGACTCACAATCACGATGGGCACCGGGCCATCAACCCTCCACTCAGGGAGCACACCACACTGATGGGCAACTGGCCATCAACCCTCCACAATGGGAGCACCACAACAATACTGATGGTTACTGGGCTATCACCCTACTTACCGGGAGCACCTCACCAACATCGATGGACACATGGCCATCACCCTCCTCACCGGGAGCACAACACATTAACGATGGACAACTGGCCATCACCCTCCTCACAGGAAGCACACCAACAATACCGATGGTCACTGGGCCATCACCCTCCTCTACGGGAGCACACAACCATATTCACACACATCATAC